TTTTGAAAGGAAAACTGACCTTATTCATACTGAATTGTTTTGTTTTCCATGTTAATTAGCCTAGATAGAACAATATAGGAATAGCGGAGAGAAAGATGAGAGTCTGATGGACTGTTCCCTACAATTTATGGAGCACATTCGCATACATTATTCTGTTGGTCTCAGTAAAGAGACCTGGGAGGTCCTCATCCACAGATGAACGTACTGAGATTCTCTCAAGGTCGCCCAGCTAAGACGCACAGCCAAGACTCCAGGCCCCATTTTCTTTCCATCATAGCACCACTGCCACTCATATTTGAAAACTGCCCCAGTGATCAGGGCTCTGTCCATCTATCTAAACCACTGTTTTTAAAGGAGTTTAAGAAAAGAGCTTTTAATAATTTAGATATTTTTATATAGGTATGAAATTTTTTAAATACATGAGGCCAGTAGAACAATGCTCAGAGTGGAGACTGTGCACTTAGCCTCCCCACGGTTGTGTCTCATCTTTTTCACTTTGCAGCTCGGGAATATGATACAAGTTAATTAACCTCATTGTTCCTCAGTTATTTCCTCTATAAATAGGGATAATAGTATCAATCTGGTAAGAATCTAGTGTGAAGTAAGTGGTGCATAGAACAGTATCTTTCCCTTAGAAAGTGAGCAAAGGATCTAAATAGACATGTTTTCAAAGAAGACATACAAATGGCCAACAGATACATGAAAAGCTGCTCAGCATCATTAATCATCAGAAAAACGCAAATCAAAACCATAATGACATATCATATCACACCTGTTACAATGTCATCAAAAGGTCAAGCCATATGTTAGCAAAGATTTATAGAAAAAGGAACCTTTACACTCTCTGATGGAAGTACATTGGTACAGCCATTATGGAAAAGAGTATTAAGTCTCCTCAGATAATTAAAAATAGAACTACCATAAGATCCAGCAATCCAACTTTTGAGTATATATCCTAAGGAAATAAAATCAGGTTCTCAAAGAGATTTCTGCACTTACATGTTTATTGAACCCTTATTCACGGTAGCCAAGATATGGAAACATCCTCAGTGTCCACTGACTGATGAAAGGACAAAGAAAATGTGAGATGTGTGTGTATAATATTATCCAGCCAAAAAAGAGAAGAAAATCCTGTCATTTGTGACAACATGCATGCTTCGAGAAACCAATATGCTAACTGAAATAAGCCAGATTAAAAACACAAATACTGGATGGCATCATTTATATGTCAAATCATTAAAAAAAATGTCTGATTCAGAGATACACAGAGTATAATGCTAATTGCCAAGGGCTGCTGGGTGGGAGAATTGGGGTATGTTAGTCAAACACTACAAACTTTCAATTATCAGATGAATAAGTTCTGAGGATCTAATGCACAGAATAGGGACTATAGTTAACAATACTAAACTGTATACTTGAGATTTGCTAAGAGATATATTTCAAGTGTTCTCACCAAAAAAAAAAGTTAACTATATGAGGTGAAAGTTGTTTCATTTAACTTAATTGCGGTAATCTTTCCACACTGTGTATGTGTATCAAATCATCCCATTATGTAATTTAAATACACTACAATTTTGTATGTCAATTGCACCTCAATAAAAATGGGAAAAAAGTATACTACTAATATGAAAACAAGTAGTGAGTAAATGAGCGCTGTTATCAGACATTGTTATGATAATAATGATGATCACATAATATATATACTGTTCTGTTTTGTAGATAGAAGTCCACACTCCTCATGGTGTACCAATAGGTTATGTTACTCAGACTTGGCACCCATATCTGCCGAAGTTTACAATTCAAAATGAGAATAAAATGGATATTCTAAGAATTATAGGTCCATGTCTTGTGTGCAACTGTTGTGGAAACGTTGATTTTAAGGTAAGAGAGGTGATAATATTTATAGGATTTGCTTTCCTACTATAAGGAGAAAATAATTGTGTAAGATGTTATAAATATATTAAATAATGATTTGTATACATATTTCAAGAGGAAGAGAATGTGCTCATATATTTAACTTTGGTTATTATTGCTCTAATTAAGTGTAAGTGTTGATTATATTAAATAGAAAAAAAGAGAAGCAGAGCCTTATAGTCAAATAAACATAAGGAAAGCATCTAACCCTTCAACATGGTGGTTCTGTTTGGAGGCAGGTATATTATCCATTTTAAGTAGAACCGTAACCTTGTCACCAAGTCTGATTGCCAAAGCAT